ATTCCTATAACGATGAAACTTTCACGGAATCGATCGAGTTTTGATTGTGTCGCGTTCGAAACCATGCGAGTTCCTATTTCCACATTCGTACTTTTATATTGTATTATTATTTTCAAATAACTATAAAAAAAAAAAAAAAAAAAATAGGAAGGAAGAGTAGAAACATTTCGAGTCAATACAAATCCCATTTTCGCGACATGTATTACATATTATATATATATATATATAATATATATATAAATATAGACTATTACACTTATATTTTTTTATTGTCGGTCCCGGCTAATCGAAAGTCGCCCGCAGCTAATCCGCAAGTCGAATTGGCACAACACGGAAACAATCAAACGGTTTGTTATGTTTATAAAAGGAAAATTCTAGTTAAGTTTTAGTTTTTGGAACGTTCGCTCAGGTGACGAACAACTCGATATAAGCGTGGAGGACGAGAGGTTAAATTGTGTGGAAAACCCGCAAATAAAACCGAGCCAAGTATCCTTTGTCCCGGAGGCCAATATAATTTATTAAGTCAATCCGTTCAACTGAAATGTGATCGGTATTCGAGGAAAAGCTTTGTTGAGGTCACAAATGACAAATTTTTTTTTTCAAACGGCGATAAAAAAGGGTAATAATATATATATATATTTTTTTTTTTCATATAAACTACCGGACCGTAAAAAAAAAAGGAAACCGTTAGGGTCATTTTTCGAACGTCGCGATTAATGAGATATATAATCGATTTGTCTTTTTTTTAATAGGATTTTCACTCTTTCCTCCGGTCCAATAGTTATCTTGTCGCCAAAGGCAAAAAAAAAAACAGATTTGCCAAACACTTCCGGTCCGACCATAACTATATAATTTAATAATATTTACCCAAATGTGTATAATGAAGGTAGGTACCTCTATTTGGTAACACCACTCTCTGATCGAGCTCGGTTGAGTTTAATTTTGAGTCACTGAATCCGTGGTAGAAATTTTAGAGATCTTGCTTTTTTATCGACTTTTCTGCTCTGTCGGAAAACCTACTGTTTTTTTGTGGGGCTGTGTAATTATACAGAATATATAATGCGACCGCATTTTTTTTTTACTCTACCAATTACAACATTTACAGAAAAAAAGAGCGTTTATTCAATCAAATTATCTCTCTTTTTTAAAAACGTTTTTGCATAATTAATATGAAAATATGGTTGATTAAGTTAGTAAAAATTAGACGGGCAACAAAATCAATACGTTTGGTTTCAAAATTAACCATTTGGATAAATTTAAAGGAGAATTAAGGAGGTCGTGGGGTGAATAAACGAGCATATGACCAATATAGTTGTAGGTTTCTAAATGTTTTAAAAATATAAGATATTATCTATACAACGATATAAAGACATTACAATTTTTTTTGTTTTTTTTTTATATGTAATTCCTTTTTAAGTATACATTCGATACAATATGTATTCACTATTTTATTCGAATCAATAAAAACATTTATTATTTACACGACAAAATCATAAGCTATAAAAGGAGCTGAATATGGTTTACGATCCACTCACCGCAGTGTCGTCACGCTTTTAACAGAATTTGGCCTTATAAAATTTTAATGGCATCTATATTGTTCACTATTATAACTTTATGACTACAGACTATAGAGTCTACTGGCGCGGCGTTTATTTATTATTTTACTGGAGGCGGTTCCACTGAATTCCACCAATAAACACCAATATTGTAAGAAAAATTGTACTTAATACGGTTTCTTTTTTTTTGTATACTTCTAATTGTAATCTATAACTCCAAGATATCAAAAAAAAATTAACTCGCGTTGAAAAATGTGTGCATGTCAATCGATTCTTTTACTTCACAAGAAAATATCTATTCGGTGTTATCACTTTTTGTGAGTTGTAACAAACGACATTGTATTGTGTTATATTCTTGTTTTTCTGAATGTTTATGCTTCCCCAAAGGATCTAGAGTTCCCAAGAAAATTTATTTTCCTAATCTCGGGACGGGAGTAAGACCATAATAATATGTATTAAACGTGCACTACAGCCATTAATTGAAGGATGGTTGTCCGATAAATTTTAATAAGCGGCGATTCTATGGTTGTTTAATACATGTCATATGCTATATTTTAGGTTTGGTATATCAATTATTATCTTAAGTTATTATATTAAACGTATTTTAATTCATGACCATCCGACGTATCAAGTGTTATCGAGTTATCGTTGACCACGATTAGGTTTGTGTTGTGCAATAGTTATAATAACTTAGGTTCTGTAGCTGCGGGGCAATCTACAATTAACATAAAGCACAATACTAATTACTAAATGCTATACAGGTACATGCCGTTTGAAATTTTGGTGGGTCCGATATTCCTGGAACGGTTACAATACCTGTATTATATTATATGGCCCGCAGATAGCTTGTAGCTGTATAATATATAAACCATCGATTGTAACGGGCGAAGCACAAAGCGAGCACTAAGCGTGTTTACTTATCATTACAAAATTTTTTGCCGACACGGCGGACCCGCTGAAATAATACCCATCGTTTTATCATTCCGAGAGCTGCGAAGAGTGTACATAATAATAATAAAGGTCGAAAAACGGTCGGAATAAAGATAATTTATAAGCCTTGTTTGCAGTTAAAATCTCAGCCGCCAATTGTGTTAATATTATTATATTTGTATATCTACTAAAATATATGTAGTATCCAGTGCCGTTTGCGCGTCCGAATTTATACCACTATAGTAATAATATTATACTTTATAACGAACTAGGTTATCCACACTGGGCTGGCTATGGCGTTGCGGCGGGATCGACTCGTTCATAAACTCTCAAGTAAAATACATCCGCGTTCCATTGTCTTGTTGCATGTAAAGTTGTTTACTTGTCAAGTTAAATAAGGGAGAGAGAGAGAGAAGGCTCAGAAGAAGCGTAACTAATAAAAAAAACATAAAATACTGATTCACCGCATATGGCCGAGTTCCCAAGTCAAGCGCGTGACTGTTTTGCTTGCAAGTAGTTCCCTCTATGATCTAGTCATTGTGATCTTTAGCTTTTCTATGGATCCGAGGAAGAGAAATGTTTTCGGTAAAAAACCAACAAATAATGTATTAAATTAGTACTTTGAAACGTTGTTGAATTTGTCATGATATAGTACATAATAATAATAGGTACTTAAACGGCGAATCTAAGAGATTGTGTTGATTTCACCTTGCGCCATCATAAACGTCATGTGGTATTCTTGTAAATAGTAGACATTTAACTTTATAGGTTGCACTATCATTGAACTGCGCAGATTAAGTAGTATTTGATTCGTCGTCATGTCGGTGATCAGTTTCTAATAAATCCACGGTTCTTGCCTAAAGAACCAGCACTGAGTACAACAAATAAAAATAGAATAACTAATTCGAGAGGAGTTGGTCGTCTCAGGCACTGGGTAGTGTTTGGATTTTCCTGACCTTATAATTTACTATAGCAGTAAATGGTAGCTATTTTTTCTACAAACGGTAATCGTTACTATGAAAAAACTTATAAAATTAATATGTAAAAAAAAATCCTTCTACTGAAAATTACATTATTATATTTTATAAAGACATCCGCTGTAACGATAACATTATCGTTGTAGCATAAATTATTTAGTGCTTTATTACAACACTCCGCAGACGGCTACGAGCAATTTCTTGCTAGGTCGAGGATGGTTGTTGTAGTATGACAAAAAAATAATAAATGTTTCCAAGAAGTTATATAGACTCACAGTATATAATATAAGTAAGAAATTTGATTGAATCGCACAGATTAAATTTATTGCATTTTTCGAATTTATCGTTGGGCAAAAAAATAACACCGAACCATATCAAGTGGATAATGGAAATATGGTACGACTTTTAAAATATTTTTTTTCTTTCGCCTGTTGATACAGGGTCTTCGGGTAATATAAATCAAATTATGTTTGCCGATAAGTTTGCGCACACACATAGTTATTTTTCAATTACCGTCAGAAAATTTATCATAGGAATATAATCTGGTTGCAGTTAAATCTCAACATTCAGAAAATTGCTAATTTAGAAAACATTTGTATACTTCCTCGTTATAAAAAAAATATGACTTAATTAAAAAATATTACCTACTTAAATAATATTAAACATTTTTTTCTATTTATAAAAATTTGTTACTGTAAATTGTAATATATTTTAATACATTAGGATATGACAAGTGCACTTTATTTTTTATTTCAATGGCGTTTATCATCGGGCCCAGTTACTGACATGAATCAAACACCTTGTGTCTATCTCCTAGACCTTAGTTCCTAGCCGCTTTGCTTCGTCTGACAACAGTGTCACACTTTACAGGTTCGTAAAAAAGTTCACAGCTTATGAATATACTGAATGGTTATTATACTCATGCTCATTTGAATAACACTGGGCGACTTCAAAAATAAGTACCTAAAATCCCTTTAAACCGAAATTGGAGGGTTGGGGTTTTGGCGGAATATGTACAGTGTGACCATTTTGATAACAACAAATCTGATTAATTTTGATTGTGGATTAGTTTCATACATTTGTTAAGCAAATCTTAGTGCAACAATTACAATATCAGGCTTTTAGACCCTTGAACTAGTTTTCGAGACAATTGCAACCGTATTGGATTTAAAGTTTATTGCGACAAATCTGTTGAAAACAGAAAACATTAAAATTTTTAAATTTTATTCCACATATTAAAATAAAATGTTTAAGCTAAAAAAAGTTTAAATCTATATATAGTTTGTAAAAATTACTTCTAGCTTCGATGCAAAGCTCGCCGCTTAATACCTTCGCCAGGTATTGGTTTTTTTAAGAAGTAAAAAAAAATTACTGGTTTAAAAAAGTAATTTTTACTATCTATAGATGTATAAAAATAATGACATTATTGTTTTTCTAACAACTAATTGTTTCTGTGCTTGTATATTATAAAGTTATAATGTATATGCATTATGCTCATTAAAACAAACACAGGAATATAAAAATAAATAATACTTACATTTCTTCTTTTGAAAATCTGCTCAAATTTTGACTTTTCTTATGTTTTAGAACCTATAAATAAAAAATTAACATTTAGCTAAACAATAAGTACAGTAGTTTGATTTTAATATAATTTTAAGCATTTGATTTTAAATTGTTCAAACAGGATAATTGGTTTTCTTTGAAACACGAATTAATAAAACTATAATACTTCCAAACTAGTTCTTTTGATATGATTAGGTAACTATAACAGTTGCATACCTAATAGTAAAACCAAATGAAAATCAATTAGTTATATTTTAACATCCAATTTAATACGTATGTATACCTGCTGTAATTTAATTTCATTGATCACACAATCACAATTTACAGCATAATATTATTAGTTTAGTACTTGAGATAAAATTATATTTAATGAAGTTTTTTTTAATATTGTAGCATTATTAATGCTACATAATTTTGCTAACAATAAAGATACTGCAACGCTAATGAATACTAAAGATGTCAATTTATTTATATTTGTTATATTATTCGTTGGTAATAAACACTGTATTGTATCATTTATAAATTATAACTAACGGTTTTAAACAATACTGGAAATTATTATTGTTAAAACCTATTCAACTGTGTTGAACCTATTGTTTCATTAGTCTGTCTTAAATCAGTTATCTTAGTTCAATAAACATTTTTTTTTTGTAATTATTGAACTGTATTTAACTGTTTATACTTAGTTACGTAAAAAAATTATAAAAGTAAAATTATTGTATGGTAAAAAAATTAGGCGTTGTAAAAATGGTTACTGTTTACATTACGAACAGGCAATATAGCCCTTTGTAATTTAAATTATAAACATTTAACAAATTAAACGGAGACACTAATGCTATTTGTTTTTATACAGTAGCTGTTTTTTTTAATATAGTTTAAAAAAATTGAATCTTCCTCGCACTTTAAATAATTGGTTAGATCGGGAACAGCAAAGTTACTGAAGTAAGTAATTTAATTATGTTTAGTTCTAAATTTTTTTTGTTCGTTAAACAATTTTTTTTTTCATTCCGTGACGCCATTTTTTATTTACATTTATGTCAAAAATAACTAATTTTAAAGGACAATATGAGATAAAGTCATATAATTGTATTTATTATAGTTTACAGGTACGGTATATAAAGCTGTGACTCGGCCAATTTATTACTTGAACAACTCTATTACTTGTATAAAATATTCGGCGCAAAGTGAGCTTAACTTTGCAATAGTGTGGATCAAATGTATATCTATTTCCAAAGGAAGGAGGTATACTTCCATAGGAGTGGGAAAATTTATTCGACAGGAATTAGTCAAAGATGGATTTTTCTCTTATCAACGATCACGTCTTTATTTTTGACAAAAACAAAAGCCACGTTCTCCGGACCTAATTAGACGGATGTGCCAGATTCTCAGTCGGATTTCCTGGAAAATTGCCAATATCGATTTAACGTTAAAGTCTCGTAGCTTTAAAAAAAAAAATGTTTTTTTTCTCTATAACAACGAGATGACACACTGTGATCACAAAGGAGTTTTCATCGACTGGGCGTTCATTGCCGGTGGCGGATTTGCGCGAACCGCCGCGTTAATCGACTGTACAAGGGAAGGGATAAATAATATTACATAAATAAACTGGAGACACACGAGGCTTTTGGGAAACACGAAAATGATCGTTGAAACGCATAACACAGAGGTTAAGTACGACCCGGGAAATTCTTGTGGATGTCTAAGAGTGAAAATGGTATATACTGTCTGCCGGTTCGGTGTGGCCCTGTAATCCTTGCGGCTCGTGTATATTTCCTATACTTGTGTATAATACTTATAGGTATTGCTACTGGAGTCTGTGTGCCGTTATAAGTGCAAGCGTCTCGAGAATAGCGTTTGAGAAAATTACTAAGCAAAATTACCAAGCACGGGATGACGTAAACAGCCAGTTGCGACGAATAATAAGAAAAAACTACACGAAATTCTTCCTAGCTTCCTTACTAGTTATTTTCTTTTGTTTTCTATCGTTCCTATTTAACGACGCAAATTTATAAGGAGATACTCCTTCGCCGTGACTTTAATTACATCGTGCCGAGCTACACTTCAATACACAAACAATATGAAATGTGGGAAAAAACACATAATATAACAATAACAACGCTATCGCTACCCCTTTTGTAACGTTATATGTATTTAAAAATGGTCGTTATTAATATTATTAGCACCGCTATCCACTACCAATATACTGTGTGTATCTATGTACAATAAAGAAATCAGTAGATTAGGTTTATTTCAGACGGTCTTCTCTGATGTTATTTGCTAAACAATTCAAAATAAATATTGGTTTACCCTTAAAAATACCAGTCCGGAAGTGTTTCACGTTTGCAATACCGCTGTCCATTCGGAGCTTATCCGACAACGTTGAAAATAATATTGAAACGTTACAAAGATGTTGTGGATTTTATTATTTGTGAGATGTACTCATTTATTAACACAATACAGTTTGGCACTTTGTTGAACGTCAAATTCGTTTAGCAATTATTATGTGACTTAATCTGACACATATCCGATTACTTGATTATTTAATTCTATAAATGATTACTATAATATATCATTGTCTTTTTAATATAATTTTTTATATTACTCGGCAGCTATAATTAAGTGAAAAATACAACAGACGCATATTTTTATTTTTATCGTTTTACAATAATCAATTTACATAATATATATAAAAAAATGAGCTCTGGGTTTGTCGCGACAGATATGGAAAACAATACTTTTGATACATATTGTAATGAACACAAAATAAACAATAATATAATGTAGCTGTTATGTTAATGGTTGTTTTTGTAAAAACATGTCATTATCTAGGATATATTTATATTAAATTATAATTAATGTTATTCCTATGTAATGTACCTAATAATTACTTAGTTGTGGTTTTTAGAATCAATCAAAATTTGTAGAAAGAAAAGCTTGGTATGAATAATAAACAAAAAAAACAATAATTGTTTTGTTTCAATAAATAAACTTTAAAAAGCGATTTGAACGTTAATACAAAATTGTACAGCTTTATATTTCAAACTATCCATTTCAATTTAAATGTAATCATTTCCATTTACTATCAGACCGACGTTGTAAATCCTTCAACTAGTCTGATGTCACTTAATTTCTTATCCGAGAGTTTTATTAAATTTTAGAATAAATGTTTTTGCGGTGCGATACTTTTAAAAGTCGAGGTAAAGCTTTCCTACAAACCTGTTTTTATTATTGTTCTCTTTTCGTATCAATTGACATTTCCAGACTATTAGTTTGAAATGAAATGACTGTTCATAAAATCCTCGGAAATAAAAAAAAAAGGTGACTGTCTATACTCTATAGTTTATTGGAGGTGACTACGAATTAAATGGCGAACTAATCCAAACAGGTTTTTTTATATAATATATTAGGATAAAATTTATATTGTTATTTACCTAAACGTACATAAAAGCGTCAAGCGAGTAAGAGTCAAGTCAGTTTAGAAACCGCAGAAGTAATCTAAATTTGTTTTGTTATGAACTTAATAGAAAGTCAACCGACCAAGTTTTAACCACCAGCCCTTATATTGACAATTTCTAAAAGTTGTAAAATATACGAATAACCGTGTTAAGGTTAAGTTCAATATCTATAAACTTATTATATGACTTTACTTTAAAACTGGTTATCAATCGTCCACACTAGACGAATACGTTTGATAAAATTACATAGATACATTTGTGTTGGAAATACTCACTAAATACTTAAGAAAATAAATTAGCAAATAATATCTCGTCTTGCTTTTCATTGGCTCTTTTTGTGCTGATCGTAACTAATGGCTGACTTATTTAATTTTCTTCCGAATATATGCAATAACTTAATACAACTGAATAATGTAATTTAAACATGATTTCAAACAAAAACGGTTTCTTAGAATTTACCAAATAGTTATAAAACTTCTTTAATATTAGCTTTGATGCAAAACTAAGCGGGGAGTTCGTTTTTACAATTATAATAGGTTTTTTGTTTTGGCAATGAACGAGTAATTTTCTTCTTTGGTTTTATTTGTAAACTTATCTATAAAATCTTATTTATAGAAAACCATATAGTCTCTATACCCACCTGCTGAATCCTCATCTGGATGTTTTGTATCTTGTCTACTGCGACCGGTTAGATCATTTATTTTATGAAAATTTGATTACATTATAAGCGACAAAATAAACTTTGTTGTTGTTCATGTTAAACATTTCTTCTAAAAATGATAGTAAATACTTGAAAATAACGACTGACTGATAACCAGTTTTTCATATATATTTTTTGAGCCATTCAAAGTACACGTGAGTAGTGCTTTTAATTGGTAAACCAAATATTTGCTACCAATACTCCGTACTTAAAAAAAAAAAAAACACAAAACTTCCCTTCCAGAAATCGTTTTTACTCGAACTATGAAAATTGTGTTTGCAATGATTTAACGTATTAAAGATTTTGTATGAAATTTGTCGTAGCCAAAATTTTTCCCGGTGTCGTGTCGCGTCAGTTAAATACTTAATGACAAATTACAACCTAACCCAACCGATCACCGTGATAATTATAACAGATAGGTCCGGCGGATCGCGGCTAATTAATATTCAGTTTTGAGTTCATGCGAGAACCACCTGGGAAAACGCCATTTGGACCTATTTAACTGTACAAACACATTGGTCGGCAGCGACCCGACCATCGATGGCCGAATTATACACCGTGACGGGTATATAGAGGGACCCACGTATATTAGTGGAGCTGGTTGGCTCTGTCAAAACAAATTAAAACCGTCCTTTTGTAGCGGTCGGTATGATAGTATATATTATTTACTAGCTGTAGCCTGTAGGTACGCGTCTGTGTATTAGACGGGCGTGTCACGGCGGTTATGCTAATAGACAGGGACGCACCGTGTGGGAAACGGCATTATCTCTTTAAACCCTGACGTTCACAACGTCCGCGTGCATTGTGGATGATCGGTCCACCGGCTTTCCCGGTCGCTGCTTTTTCATCATATCTACACAAGTACACTTTTC